TGAGTTCATCTAAGCAACGAGTCAAGGGAGAGAGTTTGCATCTACATACCACTTGTAGATCGCGTGCGGAAGCTTGCAAGGTGATGACGTAGTCGTACTCGACGTGATTCGAATCACCGATGACCAAGCGCTGAACGGACAGCGCCTCCGCGTTCAACACACGTACGGGACGGGAGACGTCTCCTCCTTCTTGATCCAGCAAGGGGGAAGGAGAGGTTGAGGAAGACAGCTCCACCGGCAGCACGACGGCGTGGTGATGGTGGAGAAGCAGTACTCCGACAGGGCTTCGCCAAGCACACAACGGAGGAGGAGAGGTGTTGGGGAGGGGAGGGCTGCGCCTTGCAGGGTGGTGCGGCTGCCCTCCCCTCACCCCTCTATTTATAGGGGGAAGGGAGAAGGGGGCCGGCCCCCCCTAGAACCCATCTAGGGGGGGGGGGGCTGCCAAGGGGAGAGGGGGAGAGGGTAGCTTGCCCCCCAAGCCAAGGGGGGCGCCCCCTCTAGGGTTCCCCCCTCAACCCTAGGCGCAAGGGCCCAAGGGAGGGGGTGCGCCCAGCCCACCAGGGGCTGGCTCCCTGCCCCACGCAGCCCATGTGGTCCCCCGGGAGGGGTGGCCCCTCCCGGTGGACCCCCGGAACCCTTCCGGTGGCCCCGGTACAATACCGGTATGACCCCGAAACTTCCCGGTGTCCGTTTGACAGCTTCCCATATATAAATCTTTACCTCCGGACCCTTCCGGAGCTCCTCGTGACGTCCGAGATCCCATCCGGGACTCCGAACAACATTCGGTAGTCACATACTAGTCTTCCTAATAACCCTAGCGTCACCGAACCTTAAGTGTGTAGACCCTACGGGTTCGGGAGACATGCAGACATGACCGAGACGCTCTCAGGTCAATAACCAACAGCGGGATCTGGATACCCATGATGGCTCCCACATGCTCCTCGATGTTGTCATCGGATGAACCACGATGTCGAGGATTCGATCAAACCCTGTATACAATTCCCTTTGTCAATCGGTACGTTACTTGCCCGAGACTCGATCGTCGGTATCCCAATACCTTGTTCAGTATCGTTACCGGCAAGTCACTTTACTCGTACCGTAATGCATGATCCCGTGTCCAACACCTTGGTCACATTGAGCTCATTATGATGATGCATTACCGAGTGGGCCCAGAGATACCTCTCCATCATACGGAGTGACAAATCCCAGTCTCGATCCGTGTCAACCCAACAGATACTTTCGAAGATACCTGTAATGCACCTTTATAGTCACCCAGTTACGTTGTGACGTTTGATACACCCAAGGCACTCTTACGGTATCCTTGAGTTACACGATCTCATGGTCGAAGGAAGAGATACTTGACATTGGCAAAGCTCTAGCAAAACGAACTACACGATCTTTTATGCTATGCTTAGGATTGGGTCTTGTCCATCACATCATTCTCCTAATGATGTGATCCCGTTATCAACGACATCCAATGTCCATAGTCAGGAAACCATGACTATCTGTTGATCACAACGAGCTAGTCAACTAGAGGCTCACCAGGGACATATTGTAGTCTAAGTATTCACACGTGTATTACGATTTCCAGATAATACAGTTATAGCATGAATAAAAGACATTTATCATGAACATTGAAATATAATAATACTTTTATTATTGCCTCTAGGGCATGTTACCAACAGTTGCATATAGTAAAAATTGTCATGATCCATAAACTACATATACAATGCTCGAACAACTTAATTTGCTATGGGAAAAAATTGCGATGGTACTGAACGATCAATGAGGAGTAAAACTAAGTGTTGCCACGGGGCATGTCAATACATACACTAAGTTTGCCATGGTCCCGATCGAAAAAGAAAAATTGCCATGTTGCCAAAAAAGTGTCATAGCAAAATGCATATTCAAGTTGCCGTCATCTAAAAAGTAAAGTTGCCATGTTGTATGAACTACGATTGACCTGAACCATGACTTAGAAAAATAGGAAATTTCATGGCAAGAAATTGAACAGATTGACATGAAGTGTATTCATATATTAGAAAACTGCCATGACCCATAAACTACACTTGCCATGCTCCATGCAATAAAGTTGCCATGGTCCCATCAAACAAAGTAATTTGTTGTCGATGTTACAAAAAGAAAAGAGTTTGCCATGACATTTAAACTACATTTTCCATGTTATGAATTATGAATTCGCCATGCCCTGTAGATTACATGTAGTGTGAATATTTGAAACTTGATTTGAAGACCACGATTTTATTATTCCGTTGCAACGCACATGCCTTTTTGCTAGTGCACTTAATATATATTGCATCTCTAAAGGATTTTTCTCCTCTTTCCTTTTCTCGCATGAGAGGGTATTCTCAAGATCCAAGCCATGTGTAGTCTGCGAAGTCCGTTGGTACCTAGGGATTGGAAATGGAATGAGATTCATGTCCATGTGGTCCGCCTGACTTATGTTTTTCGATCCGTGGCCCTTGGCTTGGGCATTGACTTTTTGTTGACTATGGGAGGCTATGGCTGACTTGCCATGGAATGAGCTTTGAGACCACATGGCTGGTCTGGCTTTGGATTTTTGAATCCACGGGCCCACGAGCTTGGTCTTTAACTTTTGGAGGTCTGTGGATCTTGGATTCTGATTTACCTTTGTACAGATGCATGACTATCTTTCGTAGTTTTTTTCTTTTTTGTACACTATAGTGTTCCACTAAATGAAGGTTATTAGCTATTTATCGTGGCCATGAGTAGGGAGCATCTGTTTGTGGTTCGCATCTATGATTACCTTTATTTCTCAACTTTTGATGCTCGTCTTTATAAAGTTTCAATGCTAGGCAATAGGGTACCTCCTATCACAAAGTTGGACACTATCCATCCCTAGTCGGCCTCGGATCGATGGAAGCATTCCTACTCCTTCATGGAGGATCCACAAGTGTATTTATCTTTGGCAGGAATAGCGCCATGTTGTGGCCTTTCAATGGAGGCCAGCCCACGTATCTCCCGTCAATGAAGGCTCATGTATTGAGAGGATGTAATATCCGGTTGCACTCGCATACGGGGTCTCCAAATATTGCGCACACGGCGTATACAACCGTGCAAGATCACAACGGGTCTCCAAGTACTCGCGTATTTGGAGTCTCCAACTGTCGCGCACGACCACACCAAGTACGCAACATCACGATAGCTCCTATATTGAGGGGCTCACAACAGTCCGGGATCGAGCTTGTTCTATACATGAGAGTCTTTCACAATCGCGCTAACTATCCAAAATCTTACTCCTATATGAGAGGCTGACATCCGGGCCCGACCAGGTCGAAACCTCCCAACATATACTGAGCAAGGTGCAACTCACCCGGTTTGAATGCTGACCTGAATATGGGGGTTCAACCTATTTTTGAGGAAGATATGATTGATTTCCTTGTTGGTTTACCAGAGGAACCTGTTATTCAGCTTGTGCTGGAAGACAGTGTTATGAAACTGTCTGAAGAACAGTTTACTGAAACTGTTGTATTCTGCAACTGTTGCTAATCTGCTTCAGTTAGAACTTGGGAACTGTCCGGACTATTGCATTAGATATAAGTAGAAGGAGTTGAATAGAAATAGTTAGAATGCTCTTATATTTGTTTATAGAGGGAGTATTTGCATTAGTTGTATAGATGATAGAAGGTTGTCTGTTGCCAATTGGTTGTCGGGGGAAACTCAATAAATTAGTCACATATTCACACTAAAGCTTGATACATCATTTTCTGATTTCAAACCGCTGTCCTTGATTAGAATACTGTAGAAAATTTGCTACTAGTAGAGACTTTGGAGCTTGGAAACCCAAACCAGTCGAGTTTCGATTTGATTAGTCTTATTGAACTGATGCGCTAGACAAGTTTTTGAAAAGTTCGAACTGAAAGATTAGATCACAACTACTTTTATATTAAATAGTGCATTGGCCAGGATTTGATCCCGGGATCTCATGGCTCCGATACCATATTGAACTGATGCGCTAGCCAAGTTTTTCAAAAGTTCGAACCGATGGAAAGGACTAGGCAACGTATTTTAACAAGCCTACTGTAATCGCAAATTTTGATTGATTTAGCATATTGTAAATGCTTTGGATAACAGAACCAAATTCAGTTTGTGTCCTTTCAGGTTTTGTGAATTGGCTGTCTGTTTTCTAAGTTCATTCTATGAAACAGTTCCCCAACGGTTGCCTTACCTGTGACATGACATGATGCCTAAATTCTCATGTCATCGTGTCCCAGGCAGCGACTTGACATCCGGCCGCAGCTCGTCGTTGACTGAATTACAACAGGCAGTGAGAAATTCAGAATATTTTGCACTGAGATATATATAGGTTTAGGAGGAAAACCCAGCAACTCTTATGTTTCTGCTAGCTGAACTTGATTCATTCTCCAGACAGGAGGAACCGCTCTGTTTTGCTCTTGTGGTTCTAAACTTCAGAACCTGTATGATATGAGCAAATTATACAGTGGCATTTCTGTGTAATGATTGCGTTCTTATTGTGGCTGCTACTTCAGCGTTTCCGGGTGCATTTTTCTTAGATTCCAGCAATGATGCGGTGGCTCTTGCAGTTAGTTGAGCAGTCCACTCGAATTTAGCTGTGCCCTTTCAAGTTTCAGTCCATCAGCAGAAACTGAATTTGTGTTTCGACTTATCCTTGCCTGGCTTAATCCATGCCTGGCGTTCTCGATTTATCCTTGAATAGCATGTGAACAAAACTCAGGTTTTGAGTACTAGCTAGTTTCTGCACATTACATTAGATTGGCTGACGATCAGCACTCATCAATTACACATCGGGCAGCAACAGAGATCAGACAAGATCAGAAGTTCACAACTCATCAGGTGCACTTGCACCTTGTGTAGCAACAGGTCTACAGGGCAACAGGCTTACATTCATCTAATGTCAGCTAAACTGCCAGAGCTCCAGGGACAAAGACGAATCGAACATCATCAAACTAGGCAAGTTTAGCGTAGCCGGACACGATCGATCAGGCATCGCTGTCGTTGTCGTCGCTGCTGACTCGCCGCTGTCGTTTGAAGCATTCGTCATCTTGGTTGGCCTTCTCGCAGGCGTCGATCCAGTCGTGGTAAACGTCAACGGGCTCGGTGAGGTAGTGCGCCGTGGTGTGGTAGGCCTCCTCGCAGACGTAGCAGACGGCGGTGGCGACCAAGAGCTTGAGGTCGATGGTGCAGGCGACGCTGTCGGGGTGGTTGCAGAAGGGGCAGCAGAAGGAGGTCTCAAGCTTCGGCGCCGGCTTCTTCCGCTGAGCCATCTTGGAGCTCATCGACTTGCGCTTCGCCATCTTCTTCGATCACCACCGGCTCGCCGTCGCAACTAGGTTCCGGCAGCAAAACTTACTTCGACGTACTTGGAGACGCGATGTGCTCGTAGGGAAAGCGTTGGGTGTGCTTATAAAGGGCTCCTCTTCGGCGGCAGCAATGCATTGCGTGGTGTGGCGCGGTGCAACGAACACGTTAGCGAGTCGGAGCCGGATTCTGGGCGCCAGTCGAAATGGCCGCAGGCGCCGTATCGCCGGGAAATGACGGGAGCAACCTACCTGGGCTACGCATTGCAAGCTATGCCGTACGTATTACGCACACGCATGTTAGAGCATCTCCAACAGCAGCGCTAGATATGGCGCGCGGGAAAAAACGCGTTTCTAGCGCGCGCGAGCCGGTTTGGCGCGCTCAAGCAGGCGCGGAAAAGAAAACTGCCCGTGCGCAAAAAAGCAGAACACGCGTGGCAGTTTTGGCGCGCGGCGTCCAATGCGCCTTATAAAACCCGCGCGCGTGAGCCCGCCAACCGCCTCAGGGTGGACACGGTCCGGCCTGGTCCAGGCCCTGACCAAGCCGCCGTCTGGACCGGCCGGCGGCAGACCGGACCGGACCGGACCGGCGGTTGTAAAGCTCGGGCCGGGCCGAGAGGACCGCCCATGGCGTCGTACGGCGCCGGCGAGCGGCGGCGCATGGCGCCGGCGAGCTCCTGCAGGAGATTACAGGGCACGAGGAGGAGAGGAAGGAGAGAGACACAGCCGTGTGCCCGTCATGAGCACGTTTAAGAGGCCGGGGAGGCAAGATACATGACGACGGTGATGAATGGCGGTGTTGCCGTGGAGGTGGGGACGTTGCAGGAGACGGTGGAGGTCACCTCGACCTGGGGCTGCTCGAGTTCTTCATCTGGGAGGCCCCCGAGCGAATAAATTCCGAAAACACTAGACCTACGTAACCTCCTACGTAAACTTACGTTTGTTTCCTTTCTATAAAACTAATGACCCCCCCTGATTTTCGGGGGGTGGGCTTGGGCCTCTTTCTAATCCAATCTAACTAATCCAGATCAGCTAATACGTAACTTTACGTAAGGGATTTACGTAGGTGTAGCAAAGCTCGAATAAATTCCAAGGGCGTGTCTGTTCCTGGCGACACGCAATTAAGGGTGTTTCTTATTTTGTGTCACGTTAATACCGTTTGTTTTTTGAAAGTATCACGTTAGCACGCGTCTAGGGGGCGCCTGGCCGCCTTGGGATCGCTAATCAACGCCCACCCAAAAAAGAAACTACCTGGTCCCCCTCCCGAACCAAAAAAGGAACCCACTCACCCGCACGCACGAAACCACCCAAAACCGCTATCGAACAGGTAAGCGCCAGAAAAACCACTAGCGACAACAACTGGCCGCGGGATCACGTGCACCAGGCCGCGACCGAAACCACGCGAGACCAACTGCCCCCAGGCCATCTTCTTCTTCCCCACGAAAGAAGGATCTGCTCAGGGGGCAAAATCCTTCATCGCCAGGAGAAGAACATGGCAGCTCCCAGGGACAAATAAAAGAGAAGAGAAGAGGGCTTAGAAATCAGAAGGAACACCCAGAAAAAAGCAGATCAAGAGAAGAGGAACAAAAAGAGAACGTACCTGGAGGGGAAAAAGCACATCCAGAGGTGAGTAGACTTGCCCATCTTCTTCCTGATTCCTCCTGTAGACTTGCCCTTGTACTGATTTCCTTGTAGGCATCTTTGATTCATGTATTGATAGTCAAAAATCAAATGAATCATGCATAGTTTGTTTGCAGAGAAACTGTGCAACCAGTACTTCCGTGCAACTAAGCCAGATAAAGTAGCCAACTGAAGATTGTTGTGCCAACTCAATAGATTATGCAACTCTAAACCCTGTTTTGTGCAACTAACCCAGTTGTAGCATCCAACTATACGCATAAACTGTGCAACCGCAAAAATAAAATAAAAAGGATGAATAAAAAACTTGGCAGGAACTTGACAAATCTGGAAGAAAACAACCAAGGACGGACATGTACAATGACGCCCGATATACGATATGTTCGGATAAAATCTGCAAATATAGGTCTTAAGAAAAAGTTCACACACTGCCTTCACAAATCTAAAACACACTGCCATCAAACTGTTGTTGTAACTATGCAAATCACTCGGGCCGTGGGCCTTTGCTTTTAAATATTTGTGTGTAAATGTCGTGAGCGTTTGTTTGCTCTTTGCCTTTCACTTTTTCGAACCAATTTCATACGCTTTTCCTCTCTCAAACCTCCCCCCCCCCCAGTGAGTCAGACGGCCGAGGCTCCGGTCCGTGACAAGGAGTTCGATTCTTCGAGAGGGGCGTGCAGGACTTGGGTCCTTAGAAGCGTTGAGCGCGAGCGAAACACCCACTGGACCGGCTGGCGGCAATCCGGCTTGGCCGCTTGGTGAGCAGCCGGTCGTGCGGCTAACTTAGTTGATGAGCGACGGGCCGGGTTGATCGACCCGGCGGCCTTTTACTTAGTGTATGCTTTGGCCCGTTGTGCTTGCCTGCCGATAGCCAGAGCTGGATCTGCGGTTTTAGGGCGAAGTGGGGGACCGTGGCATCCTAACTTTATCAGGAATCACCAAGTAAAGCGGCGGGGTGACGACTGAGCCAGCCTGCCCCCGAGCCCCCAGGTCGAGCGAGTCGAGCCGACGGACGGGTTTAGTTGTAAAGTGATAAGAAATAGGGATGCAATAAATTGGTCGGCAAAAGGCAGCCTCCGAGTCTCGTTCGGGGACCCCATCGTTTCATACGTTTACAGAAAGGCGACGATACATACACTCATGCGGCTAACTGTAAAACGGGCGGAGGAGTTCCGCGTTCCACGGCCGGGTCGTTTCTTCGCCGGCGGTGTCTTTCTTGTGTTTCTTCGACTTGCGCGCGTCGATGAGGTAGTTGGCATTGCGGTCGCGCAAAGCCCTGCTCACGATGAATGAGCCCTCCCATGGAGAGGACAACTTGTGCTGTCTTGCCTGCTCTTGGACGAGTCGGAGGACAAGGTCGCCTTCGTGGAATGCGAGAGGCTTGATCTTCTTGCTGTGGTAGTACCTCAGGCCTTGCTGGTAGATAGCCGAACGGCTAAGTGCCAGAAGGCACGCTTCTTCGAGTAGGTTGACACCGTCTTCGTGTGCCTCTCTGGCTTCGTCTTCAGTGTACATCGCGACACGCGGCGAGTCGAACTCGACGTCGGTCGGGATGTCGGCTTCGGCTCCATAAACAAGGAAGAACAGGGTGAACCCGGTCGATCAGTTTGGTGTGGTGCGTAGACTCTAGAGAACTGCTGGCAACTCGTCAAGCCAACTGCCGGGTGAGCGAATGAGTGGCTCGATGAGTCGTGGCTTGATGTCGGACAGGATGAATCCGTTGGCCCGCTCGATCTGCCCGTTGGACTGCGGATGTGCCATGGAGGCCAGGTCGAGGCGGATGACGGAGACGGAGCAGTATTGCTCGAGCGCGCACTTGGCGAAGTTGGTGCTGTTGTCGGTGATGATGTTGTTCGGCATGCCGTAGCACACTGCTATGTCCTTGATGAACCGGACGGCTGTTGGCCCGTCCAGTTTCTTGATTGGTCTTGCCTCGATCCACTTGGTGAATTTGTCCACTGCCACCAGCAAGTGCGTCATGCCGCCTCGAGCGGTTTTGAAGGGTCCCACCATGTCGAGTCCCCAGACCGCAAAGGGCCAGGCGATCGGTATGGTGCGGAGTGCTGACGCCGGCTGGTGGCTGCGTTTGCTGAAGCGTTGGCACCCCTCACACTTGAGGACAAGTGACTCAGCGTCTTCAAGGGCCGTTGGCCAGTAGAAGCCGTGGCGGAACGCCTTGGCCACTAGGGATCGCGACGTGGCGTGGTGCCCGCACTCGCCCTGGTGAATGTCGAGGAGGATGTCGATGCCGCGATCCTGCTCGACACAGCGCTGGAACATGCCGGTAGAGTTGTTGATGATGCTGTAGGCGGACGCCCGGCGCTGAACTTGCCGAGCTTTGGTCTCGTCCATGGGGAGAACCCCGTTCTCCAGAAATTTTGATATCGGCAGGGCCCAAGATGGGGCCGCGACCACGGTGAAGACGGGCACTAGGGTGGGTTCCGAGTCGGCAGCCCCTGGGCCGGGTTGAGCAGCCCCCGGGTTGGGGACGGCGATGGCAGGGTCCGGGGTGATGGTGGCCGGGTTGAGCTGAGCAGCCCCCGAGCCAGGTTCAGCAGCCCCCGGGCTGGCTTGCGGTGCGGCCGGGTCTTCTGGAACGTGGATGGACTCGGAGTCCGGCGATGGCTTGACGGACGGATTGCGCAGGTGCTCGAGGAAGACGCCGGACAGGATGGCCTGACGTGACGAGGCGATCTTGGCGAGCGTGTCGGTTGCCTCGTTCTCCGCGTGCGGGACGTGGAGGAACTCGCAGCCCTTGAAGGATCCGGACAGCTTCTGGACGAGGAAGCAGTATCTTGCCATGTTGGAGTCGCGGGCGTCCCACTCGCCAGAGCACTGCTGCACCACCAGGTCCGAGTCACCGTAGCACAGGATGCGCCGGATGCCGAGTTCCTTGGCAAGCCGGAGGTCGTGCACAAGGGCTTCATATTCGGCGACGTTGTTGGAGGCGGCGAAGTGGATCTGGAGCGTGTAGCGGAGCCGGTCGCCCTTTGGAGATGACAGTACGATGACTGCCCCTAAGCCGAGTCGCATCTTGCACCCGTCGAAGTGCATGCGCCAATGCGTCGAGTCGGGAGGCGGCAACAAGTACTGGGTCTCGGTCCAGTCAACGAGGAAATCCGCCAGGGCCTGAGACTTGATCGTGGTGCGGTGCTCGTAGAGGATGGTGTGGCCGGCTAGCTGGATCGCCCATTTGGCGACCCGGCCAGAGGCGTGCCGGCACCCGATGATTTCTCCGATAGGCGCCGTGCTGACGACGGTGACAACGTGCTCTTGAAAGTACTACTTCAGCTCCTTGGCGGTGAGGTACACGCCGTAACACATTTTCTGGTAGTGTGGGTATTTCTGCTTGGAGGTGG